TGTGTGTGAGAGAGAGAGATAGACGGGGGAAAGGAGGGTGAGGGGAAGCCAGCGAGGTGGTGAGTGGTATAGCCGCGCCGAGTGCCAGGATGTCTTTTTATTTTGTCTTTTGTTTGTTGATTTTTTTTATTTTATTTTTTGTGTGTGTGTGTGAGAGAGAGAGAGAGAAGGGGGGGGACTGTGCCAAGCTGTCCGTTATGTGACTCTGACACGTGCTACTTCGTTTCTTCTTTGCGTTTTGCCTTCCCGGAAATGCTCCAAGATGCTCTCATGTCAATGCTACTCCCGAGAAGTCCCCCACCCGAAGAGCAACTGCCAAGCAGATTGAATGGTGATTGTTTCATTCATACAATGCAAAACCTGCGTAACATCAGTGTCACTACTATAGTTGGAGCCGACTTCCTTCAACTTCCCCGGGCCAATCGTCAATGACATCATCCGAGCCCACCAAAGTGAGACTCACCCACACACGCATGCACTTGCGCACATAGCGTAAAAACTCAACAAGTAAGCACGGGGCATGCATACATGCAAGATTGGTCACAAACATATCCAGAGAACACAGCAAACAAAGTCTGAATCTGAATGTTTAGCTGCAAAAACATCAACGGGACAATGGACAGGATTTTCTCAGAAAAGTGCAGAGTTCTTGCACATCACAAAACAAAAACGATGCTGCGAAGGTAATGGCTCCCCAAACAAAACACTCAAAGATAAAGGGAAAAAAAGGCTCGGCGGCATATGATAGGGGAGTTCCTTATGCTTTTTCTTTCTTTTGTGCTTTTTTTCCTTTTCTGTTTTTGTGGGCGAAGCCGCAACGGGTCATCTAGTAAAAATAAGAATGTTAATCATGGAAAGTCTGTTATCCCTCCCTGTGCTTCCTTCGCTGCCGAGGTGTTTTACCCAAGCTGGAGTTAAAAGGGGCATGAGTTGTTTTAACTTTTTTTAAGTTTTTTTCCTAGTATGTTCTTTTTTGTTTTCTTTGTTTGTTTTTCTAAATTTAAGAAAAAGGGAGGAGCACATGTGACTTCTTCGGTTCTTGTTCCCCCCACACCCCCTCCCCTTCTTCAAAATTTCGACCATACCATATCTCGATCTTGATTCTTGTGCGTAATCCACCCTTTATGGGATATTAGCCTTGCACGGTTGCCATGCTATTGAGTTTTGACACTTTTGCATCATTAGAGTCACTCAGGACATACTCACATTAGCACTGTTCTCAATGCATCTGACTGTAATTTCGACCGGATAAGGATGCATGTGGCTGCAATTGCGTCCTGAGCTGAGTTAAAAAAAGTCGTTGTGTGAGTAGGCCCTCAGAGCACAGTTTGCCTGCATGACAGCATATGTCCTTTTCAAATTTCGACGAGGGTAGGTAGGTGCCCTTTGACGTCGGGAAGGGGCAGTGGCCAGCAATTGGTTCATCGTCTCACTTTGGATATCTTGTTTGCTTGTAATGCCTTTTCAGCCGTCGGATTATGTGAATGTTGTCCTGGCGCCCATTGGCGGAGACGTACCCATAGACACGGATAGACTTTCGGCTATGGGCATCTCGAAAGTGGTAAGCAGGAAGAACCATTTTTTTTTTCCGCTGCCCGACCAGCTATACCAACCTTGCACTTCGCCTGTCTGCTTCCACCTGGCTGTTTCGTTCTCTCTCTCTCTCTCTCTCTCTCTCGGTCTATCTATCTATCTCTCTTAGATGTCTGTCCGTAATGTCTAATTTGCCCCCAGATGGTAGCTGCATTTGTGGCATAGACGCGTCTTCCTTTTTCATATTCTCTGCCTTCTCATCATCAATTGGTATGAGCAAACTTTTTTTTTTTTTGGAAGCGGCCTGCTTTCTTGGCCTGAATAGAACGCCTGGTGATTACTGCTGTATCTAGACGGAAAGTTGTCCAAATGCAGCTATAATGACCAGGTGTTCTATTCAGGTGAAGACAGGTAAGGTTATTTATATTTACCAGGATCTGAAGATTCTGAAGAATTTGAACTCTTGACCTTACATGTGTGTGTAGCATTCAGCCGCAAGGCAGGTGCGGAATCAGCAAACATCGCTTATGAGATGGATTTCAAAATTTAGTAATTACTAATTTGCGAACTCCGTATCTACCCGGAAAATAGGACTGAATACATAAGTAAGGCCTGTTTAGCACGTGTGTCTAAATCAGTCTTCAGACAAGCAATCGTAATCAGTTCCCGAGACTCCCTAAGTTCCCTCCCTCCTATTCCTCCCCCCTCCCTCTCTCCTGCCCTCTCCACTGTGCAGAACCTGCAGCGTGGTCCTTGTGCAAGGGAGACATGTAGAGGTAGAGAATCATAGAGATTCACTTGGCTATTCATTTATTTCAATCGAGTTTTTAATTGTAAAAGTTTTTAATTTTCTGTTTTTCAATATATAATGTTTTATGAACTTTTATCGTTTAATTATAGTCAGCGAGTGAGTGATGGATTGGAGTTAGTGAGTACAAGAGTGAGCTATCGAGTCAGTCAGATGAGATTAGGATGACCCCAATTCAAGGGTGATAAGAGGGGTCCCCTACCTACCGTCTACACCCCGAATAGAACGCCCGGTCATTACAGTTGTGCAATTTTCAGTATAGGTACAGCAATAATGACCCAGGCATTCTATTTGGTTGCAGAGCGTAGTACCTGCACCAAATTACAGGCCAGGTTCGTTCGGTCCCTAGTCCCCTTAACCAACCCTCCTACTGCCTCGCCTGCCTATCCTCATTTCTCTTACCATTTATTTTTTTTCTGTGTGGCTCTCTTTGTTTGTTTGGTTAATTGTTTGTTTGTTTGGTTAATTGTTTGTTTGTTTGGTTAATTGTTTGTTTGTTTGTTTGTTTGTTTTTGGTTGGTTGTACTTCAGCCATGGGGCACTGGTCCTGTAACAGAATGACACATTGGCTCGGGAAAAAAAAAAAGGGTKGGSRGGGGGGGGGGGGGGGGGGGRGGGAAAGGGAATCACATTGTTGTCTGTTCTTCATGCCAAATTCCAGAATTGAACCCAAAGTTCCCAATTTTTGCATTCAAGTACCTGTCTAAGACTCCGACCTGCAAGCGAGAAAATTAAAAAAAAAAAAAAAAAAAAAGAAAGGGTTGGCAGGGGGGAGGAAAATCACATTGTTGTCTTTGTGCTTATGTTCCACAGACCCACAAAACTTGAGAAATTTTTACAAAGAATCGAAAGAAAGACGTGGATCCTTCAGTCGTTTGGGACAGCTGTTAAAATTGGAATTTGGAACGATACAAAAAAGAAGAAGAATAGCATGAAAAACAGTATAAACAAAATAAAAACTAAGAAAAAGTGACCCTTCAGGACATCCGTTAAAAAAAACTTAAAATCGATGCAGAGAAAGAAGATTAGCATGGCCCCTTTGCACCGGTGGCACACATAAATCGAGGAATGGTCCAAAGACTCCAAATAAACCCGAAAAGTTGCGAAAACACAAAACACTAAACAAACGAAATGCATGCAATCCACCAAAAAAAGGAAAGGGACACACTGTGTCACGCATGCAACCAAAAAAGACCGACATGGGATCCTAAGTAAAAGGAAAAACGCAAAAGAAAAGAACAACATGGGATCTCCCCCCCCCCCCAAAAAAAAATAAAAAAAATAAAAGACAAGGGATCTCCAGAAATATCCAACAAAATTGAGGAACTGCAGTTTCGCTGTCCACAGAACACATGTCTCTTGTGATTCTCATTCTCAGTCAGCGACTCGTGTATTTCAAAATTGAAACACTTAGACTTGCGGACTATTGCAATGACATGGGGCCGCCGACGACTATGGGGAAAGTTGAGATAATAGAAAATAATAAAATAATAAAATAATAAAATAATAAAATAATAAAATCGTAAAATAAAAATATGAATTGGAGTCTCTTGGAGATGAGTTAAAATTGGAATGATATGGGGAAAGAAGATTAGCATGGCCCAGGTGCAACACAATGACACGCATAAATCGAGAAAGCGCGTCATTAGGAAAGGAGGGGAGGGGGGGGGCAGGGGGGGGAAAGGGATTGGAGAGTGACTTGTGGGCTTGCGTTGTCTTCCTTGTGAAGGAAGTGACAAGGATGGGATGCAATCTGTACGCACACTCTGGCACAGTCATGCTTTTTTTTTTTTTTTTAATGGAGTTGCGTATTGCGAACATGACAACACACTCTCGATGAAGTTGTGCACTCATAGTTGTTGCCACCGCGTGTGTTTTTTTTTTTTTTGTGTGTGTGTCTATGCATGTTTTATGTCTTGCAGATAATGGTCGATTCTTATAAGAGGACTTTCTCGAAAGGTAATCGTGTTGTGGTCTACTGTGGGAGCGCGCTGATTGATGCCTTGGAGGGCATTATTGGAGATGGTTTTGAATGAAGAAACACGGGAGATGAATCCCAAGGGGTTTGATGTCAGAGAGGAAAGTATTAGAGTGATGTAGTGTGGGAGCGCATTGATTGATGCCTTGGAGAGGGCAAAGTATCGGGGGCACACACAGAGAGAGAGAGAGAGAGAGAGAGAGAGAGAGAGAGAGAGAGAGAGAGAGTTGGAAGCTGCTCTCCGTTGTGTGTGTGTGTGTGTGTGAGAGAGAGAGAGAGAGAGAGGGGGGGGGGGGGTTATAGCGTGGGAGAGCACATTGATGCCCTGGACCTCGATTTTGGAGACGGATTGTGCATGCCAGAATGGAGAAGATGAATGCCAAGAAGTGGTCAGCAGCAGTAAATAATAAGGAGGGCAGCGAAGTGAAGAATGGAGGCAGTGGATGGAACCGCAGGAAAAATTCAAACAAACGTTCGGATTGGCAGTTGGGAGCTCTTCATTGTAGTTTTTTTGAAGGGAAGGGAGGTCGCAGAGTAAAACCCAAGATTGGTCGGCAAAGAAGGGAGGGGAAAGCGAGAGTGGAATGCTGCCGTCTGTCCGCGTTAGGACGTTTGAACGACTTCCGCGGAGGCTGTTAAGACTCTTGGAGGAGGAGCCCAGACGCCCTGGAAGCCGCGGCTACAGAGTTGGCGGACATACTTCTGCTCTCTTCTGCATACGATGTACTTCTCACCGTATGGCGGAAATCTCAAAAGAGAAGGCGTGTGTGCTCCTTCAAAACCACGTGCCGTTTACTTTGCCCAGGGTGTTTTGGGGACCGTCGGCAGACGGGATGGAGCGTAAATCGACTCTGCAACAACATATTGCGGTGTCGATTCTGAGAATGGGGCAGTTTAGCCCCTGCTGCATTAGGATTGCAGTTGTTGACATCGTCGGGATGGTAGTGATTATTCTCCCGGCGAAAGGTGATTAATCCCCCAGCCCATCGGTAGAACGCGATTACTCTCCATGTCATTAAGAAAAGGGGAAAGATAGGGACCAGACGGAACAGATTGTCCGACTTGTAGAATGAACACTGGGCCAACGCACACATGGGCGCTCCCCAGGACGGGCAAATTGAATCAGGCGCGAAGCGGTGAAAGTCGTCAGCTCGACTACACAAAAAGCAGAGGTTAGTGCGAGGCGCCATACCCACCCCCGGCTTACGTTTGGTGTTGTGTGACCTCCACATGCGCCATCTCCACCACCCTTAACCGTGCACTGCTTTCCCTAACTGCCATTCCTACCGCAATCCGGAAGTCCTTTTGTTGGCCCGTCCCATGCACAGCGCAGAGTTTGCCTGTGTGTTTCTCCACCGACCTGAGTTTTCTGATTCCTTAACTCTGCGAGATTCGCCCTCAACAGATGGTTAAGCGAGATTTCAACCAGCGTCTTCCTTGTCTCTACCAGCTCACCAGGGTCAGAGATGCAAACTAGCGTGTACCTTGACTCTACCAGCTAACCATCAACAGGTAGCAACAAGTTTAAGCCTTTCTTTCCGGGTTGTTCCCGACGTGAACATTTGTGGAACTTGCTGGGTCCCTGTTTGTGCCCCCCTGGTCCATTCGCGAAGACAAATCCATTCAGTCCCACATGGACTTTTTCTGTGCGCAGTGCCATCACAACAAGTGTGTGTCCCCGTACGCAATTAACCATTTGTGGACAGCCAAAGGCTTTCCCACACCGTCGAACATTCACCGGATTCCCTCTCTTCCCTATTTGTCCCCTCAGTCAATCTGGAATAAAGTAGTCTATCCAGTCCAGATGGTAAAATCACCGTCTATCCAGTCCAGATGGTAAAATCACCATTGTGCTGATAGGCAAGCACTTTCCCGCCGTGAAACATTTACCAAATTCGCTCATATGCCGAATTTCGTCGTTCCCTATTTGTCCTCGCCAATTCATCTGCATGAAGTTGTCCGTCCGTTATGGATCCACATCGGGCTTGGCATCTGCGGCACCATCGCAACAGTGCAGCTCCGCTCCCTTTACTCGATTCGCGAGTGTTTTTCTGAAAGGCAACAGATTTCCCACCATGAAACATTTGCCGGATTTCGCTCGTTCCCTATTCGTCCCCTCTGTGCATCCGTTAATCTATTCTGTCGGGTCCGCATGGACTGTGTGTGTCCGGGGCCATCACAAAAAAAATGCGCCTTTCGCTGTCGACCTCGCCATTGTGTTGCATCCGTCAATCTATTCTGTCCGGTCCGCATGGACTGTACGTGTCCGGGGCCATCACAAAAAAAAAATGCGACTTTCGCTGTCGACCTCGCCATTGGCGTTGAAAGGGGGGAGCATCATTCAAAGAGCATGCCCTGTGTCCATGACCAGCCACCCCTTGGATCCGCTCTGCTGCCTTTTTTTATGAAATAGCATGCTTCGGACCCCTCCTTGGTGAGAGATTAACGCAGGAGGGGTAAGAATTCTTTTTTTTTTTTTTTTTTTTTTTGTGTTACGAGCCCTACCATGAAGCGCTCTTTCCTTCTTCTCTCGCAATCAATCGTCAATTGCTTCACGGAGTTAGCGTCCGTTGTCGTTGGAAATTGAACCCTCCGTCGCTTTCTGAGAATTATGCCGGAGGCAGTGTAATAAGTAACCCTGCCCCTTGCGTTGGCGGCTGATTTAGGTCTACAAGACTGAAGAAAGGTCTCTTCTTGCAAGCGCATGCGTTGCCACTGCGCTGTACAATAGGCCAATGATTTCCAGGAATCTGCTCCCGACGAGGATAACCTTTAATAATAAGGTCTGCTCCTCGACGCGGTAATAATAATAATGCGATAGCTCAATAATTATGAACCCCGGTGACATTCTATGCAGTAGACCAGGTCCATAGGACATTCCATGTGGTAGACCAGGTCCATAGAATAGCAGTAGTGTTTCCTGTCCTGGCTGTGCACCAGGTCCATTCTGCTTCGATAGTCCAGCTCCATAGAATAACGGCAGTGTTGCCCGGCTGTGCACCAGCCTCGAGGTCCATTCTATGTGATAGACCAGGTGCATGGAATAGCAGTGCCATTGACTGATTGTTGCGCCAGCTCGATTCTATGTGATAGACCAGGTCCATTGAATAGCAGTTGGGGCACCTTGCTATGCACCCGGTCTATTCTTTCTGTCTATGATGTCATAGATCAGGTCCATAGAATAGCAGTTGGGCCGCCTTGCTGTGCACCTGGTCTATTCTATCGGTCTATGTGATTGATCAGGTTCATAGAATAGTGGTCGCGTCACCTGACTGTGCACCTGGTCTACTCTTTGTGATAGACCACAGCCGTACGATGAAAACTGCTCGGTCCAGGAAGGTCCAGAAGACCAGATCAGAGTGAGCTTAGGCGATACATCGTTTGGCCGAAAGGGTGAGTGTGAGATGCGGAACCGTCTTCTTGCCGTTTCACCCAAAGAGCAGGGCCCAACTCAAGTACCGCATAGCGTTAAAGGCTAGTAAAGCACTAGTACCTAGGGAAAAGTGGACGTTTTCCCAAACTCCTAAAATGTCGGAGGCCGGGCCCGACGACGGCTGCCATTGATAAATCTGATTGGCGGCCGTCGTTTCGTTTCCGCCTCCGAAAAGGTAGGAGGCCCACCCGAGGCCCGCTATTTTCCCACGCGCCAAAGGTACTAGTGGTACACCTAACAGATTGGGACTGAGGCACAGACGGTTTGGCGGAAACAGTCTCAGATAACGACCACACAGTCTGCATACGGCGAAGTCACTCATGTACCCGTGTCATCCAAAGAGCAGGCGTGAACTCCAGGTTGGCAGCAGAGTCCAACTGACCAGAGAGTCAGAGTCTGACAGACTGCAGCAGGCTCCCTCCTGGTGATTAAGCTCCAGTTTAAGCTCCTTTTTTTTTTTTTTTTTTTTTTTTTTTTTTCTTCAACTTGGAGCTCCAGTGGAAGCTTGTTTTTTAAACTGGAAGGAAATTTGGCTTCGCGGTAACCGTCCCAGCTAAACTACCACATAGTCTGCATATAGATAACTCGGTTGTTTACCCCTTTCGTCTGACGAGTAGGGCCGCACTCCAGGTCCGCTGTGGAGTTAGACTGGGTAGCGGCACAGCTGGTTTGGCGGTAAAAGTCCCGCGTAACAAGCACATACAGTCAGGATATGTTTCGTTCATATACCCCTCTCATCCAAAGAGCAGGCTGCGTCAGTTCGCCGACTTTCTGCGCAGGTTAAATCACGAGTCACTCTCATCGCCTTCTCCTGTTCGTCATCCTCCTCACCCTACTCCTCTTCCTCCTCCCAGAACTTGCTTTCCTTTACACGCGCCTTGCTTGTTCGTCTCCTGATCATGTTGCTCTCATCCTCTGTGAATAGGTGTAGTCGTGTAGGAGCAGAAGAGGCGGTGACCGTGGTGCTATTTGTTCATCATAGTTGTCAAGTTCTGGGTATGGCTTGTGTGTCCTTTGCCTTCCTTCCCAGGACTGGCTTTCTGCTTGCCCTCCTCGTCCTCCTCATCATCTGTGTGCCTCATCTCCCCTTTCTCCTCTCCTTCACACGGGGGCTACAAGAAGTGAGGGAGGATCCAAGGAAGTCGTGATATGCGTTCATCGCAGCAGTTGTGGTCTGGCATGACCGGAGCCATTTCTGTACGAGGCGACTGTTGGCAGCTGATGGAGTCATGGCAAGGTATGGTGCTCACTACTCTGCTGATCACCGCGCGCGCGCGCGCGCGAGAGAGAGAGAGAGAGAGAGAGAGAGAGAGAGAGAGAGAGAGAGAGAGAGAGTGGCCACGCCTCGCATGCACGCGCAGGAGCGAGCGAGCGAGCGAGAGATACAGCAAGTCCATCCTGTTGTTCATAAATTTGTAGTGAATATTGTTATCCCAACTTGATCTGGTCAAATGGCGGTTACTATGAATCATGATGGGTGCGGTGGCCTGGATCTGAAGTGTCTATGCTCTTCTGTATCTCTTGTGTCGAATGCCAGTCCATCATGTGCCATCAGGTCACTTCCCACTTGAAGGTGCTTCGCATACAGGGATGTCTGTCTTTTTCTTCCTTCCTTCCTCCTCCTGCTGCTGCTGTTCCTGCTGTCCTTATTTAGAAAAAAAGGCTGCGGCATGTAGGGACGTCGGATCCATCAAGAGTCGAACCCGTGACCCTTTCTCCCATTAGTATGTAGTACTATGTACCATTTAGCTGCTTTCGGTGGGTGCAATGCTTGGCAGACAGATTGTCACCGATAGTGGAGAGAGCAAGTTCCTCTTCCYCTCCCCCCCCCCCCCCMCCCCCCCTGTTGGTTTCGCACCTGTTGGTGGTCATCCAGCTGTACTCGTCGTCCCACACGGAATGTTGATCTCTGCCGAACAGACATTCGCAAATTTGCGAACACATTTCATCGCTGCCATAATGCTAGCATTATCTTTCTCCCATTCCTCCTCCAACCTGCCTAATAATCGCCGAAGGCTCGGTGTGAAAGCTATCCTTTTCTTCTTCTTTTCCAGGTTTCCCTACTGAAAAAAAAAAAAAAAAAAAAAAAAAAAAAAAGGGTTTCCCTACTGTTCCCTTCCTCACATCCTTCTCCCCCATTGTGGTGCAGGCACTGCAGGGGTACTGCAGTTCAGGCCCTGTGCGTTAGGGTGTGGTTCGACACCCATGGAGAGGAGACCATCGACCGAACTACGACTACTACAGAACCACTACCGGACCACTACCGGACCATTACCGGACCACTACCGGACCACTACCGAACCACCACTCAATCGCTGCTGCACCACTACTGCACCACTACGGGACCATCTACGGGACCATCGACCGGAATACGACTGGACTACTACGACCATTACTGGACCTCTACTGGACCAGTACTAGACCAGTACTGGACCACTACAACCAGTGCTGGTAATGTCAATCGCTCTGGCACCACTAACGGACCACCAGCAGACCATCTACCCGACCACTACTAGACCATCTACTGGACCATCTACCAGACCGTTTACCAGACCATCTACCGAACTACTACTGGACCACTATTGGACCATCCACTGGACCATCTACTGGACCACTATTGGACCTTCCACTGGACCATCTACTATTGGACCACTATTGGACCATCTACTGGACCACTATTGGACCATCCACTGGACCATCTACTGGACCACTGCACTACTGGAACATGCCAGAGACGTGTACCAGAGATGTTTACCAGAGACGTTTATACCAGAGACCATCTAGCGGACCACTATCACAGCACAATGGGACCATAGCGGACGACTATCACAGCACAATGGGACCACTTGCTGGACCACTACGTGGTTACCGGGCACATGTTTTTGTCTGGTTGTGTTCAAATGAGACCCTATAACTACCAGAGGATGTAGTGTTTTGGGCCATCCTGGTCTGGTTTGTCCAACGGACAGGGCTCTGATTACCTCTGATTTGACTGTCCATGGCTCTCAAACAAACACTCCTCAAATATGTAGGGGTCACCAGCATGTTTCAAGCAGCTGGCTCTGATTTGAGAACAAGTCTATGCGGAGGGAGAAGAGCTTCGAAGATCGGGAATGAATGCAGTGCAGCGTAGCGCCTCTGGCTCCAGGCATCTCACAAGTTATTGTGCGGGTCCAATTTGCTGCTCCTTTTTTTTTATTTTTTTTATTTTTATTAAGTTGTATGTAGATTAGCTTTTTGTCCTCTTTAGGACGTCACATCTTATCTTGCCTCATCTCACATGGGTGTATGGCTCTATTAAATCTGCTTAGAGAGAGGAGGAAGAAGAGGGAGGTGGGCGGGGGGCAGAGGGGGGGAGGGTGCAAGGGGGTGTGGCGATGGGGAAGTCATTGGTTCTAGTGCTCAAGGGCTTTCAGTGTGCTGAGATGTCTTTTTGACAATCTTAATCGTCGCTGACGGTTTTAAATTTCCGTAATTTTTTTTTTTACTTTTCTGTAATCTCTGCGGTTATAGAATTTTCCAGGAGTTCATGACGGTTGAGTTTTACGCAGATCCGAGTTTTCTTCGTTATGGGGTTTTTGGAGCAATTGAAGTTTTTTCTCAGGCGTTGAACGTGTCCGACATTTGTGCAGTTTTTTTTTTTTTTTTTTTTTTTTTTTNTTTTTTTTTTTTTTTTTTTTTTTTTTTTTTTTTTTTGTTTAATAGTAATTTCTGCAGGTTCTTGCTGTTTCTAATAACAACTTTTTTTTTTTTTGTCTTCTGAATTCTCCAATTGCCGAAGCTGCCTTTCATTTCCCCTCTTTTTTTTTTTTGTGTGTGGAGTCGTGAAAGAACTCGTCTCGTACTGTTTGTTGAAGTTCTGTGCGCTTTTCTTACAGCATCTAATCTAGCGACTGTCGTGCGCTGGGTACATTTGAATTTCAGCCATTATTTCACTATATTATTGTTAAAGAAAAAAAAAAGTGCACAATTTATGACTTACAACGTAGGCTGCCAGAGTGGCCCGGGGTGACTTGCCCGGCCAGGCCAAAAAAAAAAAAAAAAAAAAAAAAAAAAAAAAGAATTATTTGTAAATTTTATTTTGTATTCTAAATTTGGTGAAGAATTTCGATGTGACCCTGAGGCAAAAGTTGTTCAGTTTATTTTTCTGCATAACATGATTTCTTTCGGATGTTGTGGATTTTTTTTATTTTTTTTTGCTGGGACCTTCCTTGGTGCACAGGCTGGGCACCCGGGGACCGAGCGGCCCGGCTGGTAGCCTAGCTTACAACTGATTTTTTGGACTATGGAATAGTATAGAATCTATGGATTTATAACTCCATACTTTTGCTGTAAATACATTCTCGTTTCCTTAATTGATAACAGTATATGTCATCATATATAGAATAGTTCAGCCTTCTGACGAGGCCTATATAAATTAAAATTGTAATGGTATGTTTTCTTTTCAACTTAGCATCAACTATGTTTGTTTGTCTGTTTGTTTGTGTGTTTGTTTGTTTCTGTTTTTTTTTGTAAACCTGTTTTGAGTTGTCTTGGGAATTTCTAACATGTTTGATGAATCGCAATGATGATATATACAATTTAATAGAATTTATTTATTTATTTATTATGCCGGTGTGTTTGTGTGTAGGCAAGAACATTTACATCATCAGTGTCCCCCCTGCAGCCAGGTATCCGTGGCGTGTAACCCGTTGTCATCTGTGCCATACCCAGGAGGTTTTTTTTTTTTTTTTTTCCGTGTGTGTGTGTGTGTGTGTGTGCTCTGATTGACCACGGATCAGATATTAAAGTGATCAGGACAGATACATTGCACCTGATCTTACTTAGCCAGAATGCCGAGAAAGGTATACATATTACATACCCACTATTACCCAGTACATGGCCAAAACTTTTTGGGGCCTTTCAGAAAATGAACGAGTATGCGAACTCCAAAATTTTTGGGACCGTCTTTGGGGCTGTCCTTCGGGACGTCCGGTAAATTTGGAGCGATACAGAAAAAGAAGATTAGCCATGGTTGTCCCGGACCCGGACAACCGGACAACCGGACATGGACACCGGACCCGGGTCTGGATCACACCGGATGTCCGGTTAACCGGACATCCAGACATTCGGACCCGGACAGTCCGATTTGCTGTGTGGGTGTCCGGTTGTCCGGAAGGGAAAAAAAAAAAAAAAAAAAAAAAAAAAAAGCACCAAGCACAGAGCTCAAATGCACCAAGATTCCATTCAAATAAGAGCAAAGCAGTGAACGCGTGTGCCGATGTCATCGCCCTCCCATCCCTGCTCGCCCCTCCCGTCCTTCATCGCCCTCCCGTCCTTCATCGCCCTCTCGTCCCTGCTTGCCCCTCCCATTCTTTCATCGCCCTGCCATTCTTCATCGCCCTCCCATCCCTGGTCGCCCCTCCCATCAGCCAGACCCTCCTCCCACGTCACAAAAATGCTAGGAATATGAGCGAGAGCGAGAGCGATAGACAGAAAATCAAGTTGCAAAATCACGCAGAAGCCCAGATAGTCATGTATCAAGCAGAGAGCTCAAATGCGCCAAGATTCCATCCAAATAAGAGCAAAGCAGTGAACTCGTGTGCCAATGTTATCACACAGAGAGCCCTTTCAGGGCCTGTCCGGTTGGGGTACCGGTTCTCAAAAACATCAGCATTATTTTCCCGGGGTACCCCAGGCCCAGGTAAATGGCCTGGGAACCCAAATTTTTTTATTTTTATTTTTTGAAATCGGGGTCCAACCGGACCCTCCGAACTGGACACCGGACCCGGACACCGGACACTGTCCGGATCGGGATCCGGACGTCCGGTTGGTAACTACGAGATTAGAATGGCCCCTGCTCAAGGATGACACACACAAATCGGGAAAGATTTTCGGGGCTCGGGCCCAGCCTTGCACAAAATGAACGGGGTGCCGACTCTCGGCAATTTCAGAGCTTGGGCCCAGCCTTGCAGAAAATGAATGGGTTGCCATCTCTGACAATTTTGGGGCTCAGGGAAGGCCCCGCTGTGCGACGGGGGAGGAAGACGTTGGGCCCAAGGGAAAGGGGTCAAATGGACCGCAAGTTGCCCTGATTGTGGATATGTGGGAACAAATGCAAGGACAAGAAAGGTGCGTGCAGAACGCCCTGCCTCCTCGCTGGCATTAGGGCCAGACATGGCTGAATCTGGATGGAAATAGGGTCCAGAGCTTTGGGGAAAAGGCCTACAGTAGTGCTCGTTAATAGTCGTTATCAGACTTGAACAGATTGTCTACCGCATGAGCGTGGGGAACACAGCCCTCAGGTAGCCAAGGCAATGCACACGGGAGAGAGAGAGAGAGAGAGAGAGAGAGAGAGAGAGAGAGAGAGAGAGAGAGAGAGAGAGAGAGAGAGAGAGGCTGAATGGGAAAAATGGAATATGGGTCAAATTCCGGCTGCGATCTATTTCGCGGTTGATTTTTTATTTTTTTATTTTTTTTAGATTTTTTCTGGAAATATCACAACAAAATCCACGAGTTTTCCAAATTTGAGATTGTTTCACACATTCTTCTGAGCGCAAAAAATCACTGAAGTACTTTTCTGTTGGCCCACACATGGTGAGTGGCAAAAATGGAAACTGTTCCGAGTCAGCGTGGCGATTATTTCGCGGTCTTAATGATTTTTTCAAATTTTCTGAGTTTTTTCTTGGAAAGACCACGACCTAATCTATGGATTCTCAACTTTTTTCAGATTTCTCTGCAAATTCCTCCGAGCACAAAAAATCGCCAAAGTTGCCTCTTGCAAATTGTTGCACTGGACCTGCCGGTACCCTTCGCCTTGGACAATCTGCGCGTGGGACTCCTGATAACCCCTCCCCTTCTTACTTCTTTTTGGGGTCCGCTTCCAACTGACGGCCGGTTGTTCTTTTTTCCGAATGTCCTTCTATGAGAGCTAGCTGTTGGTCGTCCACAACCTCGCCAACGACCGCTTCCGCAAAACGTGTGCCCCCTAAGAATCCACTTGCCTCCTGGTCGCCCGTCGCTGAAAATGCGACACGTTGACACAGAAGCCCACTTGCCTCCTGGTCACCCGTCGCTGCAAATGCGACGCGTTGACACAGAAGCTGAAGCCCACTATACCGCAGCCTTATGGCTGCGTGAGCGTGGGGAACGCCTCCCTCGCAGCCCTAAGGTAGCCAAAGCAATGGGACGAAGCGTGGGGCGGGGGGTATAAAAGATAGATAGATAGATAGATAGATAGAGAGAGAGAGAGAGAGAGAGAGAGAGAGAGAGAGAGAGAGAGAGAGAGAGAGAGGCTGAATGACAAACAATGGGATATGATGTCACCAAATTGGACGTCCGGGACTAAGTTACTCGCCTGTTCGTTCAAACTCGACCCAGTTGGCTGGTGCCAATGAATACAGTAAACAATGATTGAGAGAGGGGGGAGAGGAGGGGGCTTGGATGTCAGTGCGCCGCGGGGATATTGAGCTGGGAGGTGGGTGGGAGTACAGGTACTCCGGAGTAGTCTTGTGATACCCACGCGGCCATTAAACCACCACTACATCGCCACCCTATTTTGTTCTTGACACGCAGCACAAATCCACCTTGGATACTTGAAAACGGAGGCTCGAATGTCGCCGTGGTTTAAGCCTTTTAAGGGGAAAAAGAGAAAAAGAAAGGTCTCCTAGCTGTTGTGGGCCTTTGAGCTGCTCCTGAGTGTTGTCTACCCCGAGTAGAATACACAGCCCTTGTTGCTGTACGTAGACTGAAAGCTGAGCAAAGTACAGCTATAATGATCGGTCATTTATTCGGGGGAAGATGGTAGGAGAAGAAGAAAGAATCTTATCTAATTGATATGGACAGCTGAAAGGCGGTGTTAAAGCACCAGCACACCATACATGGGCCCGCGGGTGTCCCCGCATAACACCCGCACCGCTTCGGAGGCCACCATTTTTTTTTTCAATGGTGGCGCGCGCCACGGGGCTGCTCCGAGTTTTGCTTGTGGCAACGAAAAACTTTCTGCAAGGCTGGTGTCGTGTACTTCCGCCTTCCGACGAGACAACTGGAATTTTTATTTATTTATTTATTTATTTTTATTTTTCGTGCGCTCGTGCGCTTACGGCTTAAGACAAAACAAATAGAATCTATTTCTTTTTTTTTCTTTTTTTTCT